TTTACCATGAGAGTCCAGTTTACCATGAAAATCCAGTTTACCATGAGAGTCCAGTTTACCATGAAAGTCCAGTTTACCATGAAAATCCAGTTTACCATGAGAGTCCAGTTTACCATGAGAGTCAGTTTACCATGAAAGTCCAGTTTACCATGAGAGTGCAGTTTACCATGAAAATCCAGTTTACCATGAGAGTCCAGTTTACCATGAAAATCCAGTTTACCATGAGAGTCCAGTTTACCATGAGAGTCCAGTTTACCATGAAAATCCAGTTTACCATGAGAGTCCAGTTTACCATGAAAGTCCAGTTTACCATGAAAATCCAGTTTACCATGAGAGTCAGTTTACCATGAAAGTCCAGTTTACCATGAAAATCCAGTTTACCATGAGAGTCCAGTTTACCATGAGAGTCAGTTTACCATGAAAATCCAGTTTACCATGAGAGTCCAGTTTACCATGAAAATCCAGTTTACCATGAGAGTCCAGTTTACCATGAAAATCCAGTTTACCATGAGAGTCCAGTTTACCATGAAAGTCCAGTTTACCATGAAAGTCCAGTTTACCATGAAAATCCAGTTTACCATGAAAATCCAGTTAACCATGAGAGTCCAGTTTACCATGAGAGTCCAGTTTACCATGAAAATCCAGTTTACCATGAAAATCCAGTTTACCATGAAAATCCAGTTTACCATGAGAGTCCAGTTTACCATGAAAATCCAGTTAACCATGAGAGTCCAGTTTACCATGAAAATCCAGTTTACCATGAGAGTCCAGTATACCATGGGAGTCCAGTTTACCATGAGAGTCCAGTTTACCATGAAAATCCAGTTAACCATGAGAGTCCAGTTCACCATGAGAGTCCAGTTTACCATGAGAGTCCAGTTTACCATGAAAGTCCAGTTTACCATGAAAATCCAGTTTACCATGAAAATCCAGTTTACCATGAAAATCCAGTTTACCATGAAAGTCCAGTTTACCATGAAAATCCAGTTTACCATGAAAGTCCAGTTACCATGAAAATCCAGTTTACCATGAGAGTCCAGTTTACCATGAAAATCCAGTTTACCATGAGAGTCCAGTTTACCATGAGAGTCAGTTTACCATGAAAGTCCATTTTACCATGAGAGTCCAGTTTACCATGAAAATCCAGTTTACCATGAGAGTCCAGTTTACCATGAGAGTCCAGTTTACCATGAAAGTCCAGTTTACCATGAGAGTCCAGTTTACCATGAAAATCCAGTTAACCATGAGAGTCCAGTTTACCATGAAAATCCAGTTTACCATGAGAGTCCAGTATACCATGGAAGTCCAGTTTACCATGAGATTCCAGTTTACCATGAAAATCCAGTTTACCATGAGAGTCCAGTTCACCATGAGAGTCCAGTTTACCATGAGAGTCCAGTTTACCATGAAAGTCCAGTTTACCATGAAAGTCCAGTTTACCATGAAAATCCAGTTTACCATGAAAGTCCAGTTTACCATGAAAATCCAGTTTACCATGAAAGTCCAGTTTACCATGAAAATCCAGTTTACCATGAAAGTCCAGTTTACCATGAAAATCCAGTTTACCATGAAAGTCCAGTTACCATGAAAATCCAGTTTACCATGAGAGTCCAGTTTACCATGAAAATCCAGTTTACCATGAGAGTCCAGTTTACCATGAAAATCCAGTTTACCATGAAAGTCCAGTTTACCATGAGAGTCCAGTTTACCATGCAAATCCAGTTTACCATGAGAGTCCAGTTTACCATGAAAGTCCAGTTTACCATGAAAATCCAGTTTACCATGAAAGTCCAGTTTACCATGAAAATCCAGTTTACCATGAGAGTCCAGTTTACCATGAAAGTCCAGTTTACCATGAAAATCCAGTTTACCATGAGAGTCCAGTTTACCATGAAAATCCAGTTTACCATGAAAGTCCAGTTACCATGAAAATCCAGTTTACCATGAAAATCCAGTTTACCATGAGAGTCCAGTTTACCATGAAAATCCAGTTTACCATGACAGTCCAGTTCACCATGAGAGTCCAGTTCACAATGAGAGTCCAGTTTACCATGAAAATCCAGTTTACCATGAGAGTCCAGTTTACCATGAAAGTCCAGCTTACCATGAAAATCCAGTTTACCATGAGAGTCCAGTTTACCATGAGAGTCAGTTTACCATGAAAGTCCAGTTTACCATGAGAGTGAAGTTTACCATGAAAATCCAGTTTACCATGAGAGTCCAGTTTACCATGAAAATTCAGTTTACCATGAGAGTCCAGTTTACCATGAGAGTCCAGTTTACCATGAAAGTCCAGTTTACCATGAGAGTCCAGTTTACCATGAAAGTCCAGTTTACCATGAAAATCCAGTTTACCATGAGAGTCAGTTTACCATGAAAGTCCAGTTTACCATGAAAATCCAGTTTACCATGAGAGTCCAGTTTACCATGAGAGTCAGTTTACCATGAAAATCCAGTTTACCATGAGAGTCCAGTTTACCATGAAAATCCAGTTTACCATGAGAGTCCAGTTTACCATGAAAATCCAGTTTACCATGAGAGTCCAGTTTACCATGAAAGTCCAGTTTACCATGAAAATCCAGTTTACCATGAAAATCCAGTTTACCATGAAAATCCAGTTAACCATGAGAGTCCAGTTTACCATGAGAGTCCAGTTTACCATGAAAATCCAGTTTACCATGAAAATCCAGTTTACCATGAAAATCCAGTTTACCATGAGAGTCCAGTTTACCATGAAAATCCAGTTTACCATGAGAGTCCAGTTTACCATGAAAATCCAGTTTACCATGAGAGTCCAGTATACCATGGGAGTCCAGTTTACCATGAGATTCCAGTTTACCATGAAAATCCAGTTAACCATGAGAGTCCAGTTCACCATGAGAGTCCAGTTTACCATGAGAGTCCAGTTTACCATGAAAGTCCAGTTTACCATGAAAATCCAGTTTACCATGAAAATCCAGTTTACCATGAAAATCCAGTTTACCATGAAAGTCCAGTTTACCATGAAAATCCAGTTTACCATGAAAGTCCAGTTACCATGAAAATCCAGTTTACCATGACAGTCCAGTTTACCATGAAAATCCAGTTTACCATGAGAGTCCAGTTTACCATGAAAATCCAGTTTACCATGAAAGTCCAGTTTACCATGAGAGTCCAGTTTGCCATGAAAATCCAGTTTACCATGAGAGTCCAGTTTACCATGAAAATCCAGTTTACCATGAGAGTCCAGTTTACCATGAAAGTCCAGTTTACCATGAAAGTCCAGTTTACCATGAGAGTCCAGTTTACCATGAGCGTCCAGTTTACCATGAAAGTCCAGTTTACCATGAGAGTCCAGTTTACCATGAAAATCCAGTTTACCATGAGAGTCCAGTTTACCATGAAAATCCAGTTTACCATGAAAATCCAGTTTACCATGAAAATCCAGTTTACCATGAGAGTCCAGTTCACCATGAGAGTCCAGTTTACCATGAGAGTCCAGTTTACCATGAAAATCCAGTTTACCATGAGAGTCCAGTTTACCATGAAAGTCCAGTTTACCATGAAAATCCAGTTTACCATGAGAGTCCAGTTTACCATGAGAGTCAGTTTACCATGAAAGTCCAGTTTACCATGAGAGTCCAGTTTACCATGAAAATCCAGTTTACCATGAGAGTCCAGTTTACCATGAAAATCCAGTTTACCATGTGAGGCCAGTTTACCATGAAAATCCAGTTTACCATGAGAGTCCAGTTCACCATGAGAGTCCAGTTTACCATGAGAGTCCAGTTTACCATGAAAATCCAGTTTACCATGAGAGTCCAGTTTACCATGAAAGTCCAGTTTACCATGAAAATCCAGTTTACCATGAGAGTCAGTTTACCATGAAAGTCCAGTTTACCATGAAAATCCAGTTTACCATGAGAGTCCAGTTTACCATGAGAGTCAGTTTACCATGAAAATCCAGTTTACCATGAGAGTCCAGTTTACCATGAAAATCCAGTTTACCATGAGAGTCCAGTTTACCATGAAAATCCAGTTTACCATGAGAGTCCAGTTTACCATGAAAGTCCAGTTTACCATGAAAATCCAGTTTACCATGAAAATCCAGTTTACCATGTGAGGCCAATTTACCATGAAAATCCAGTTTACCATGAGAGTCCAGTTCACCATGAGAGTCCAGTTTACCATGAAAATCCAGTTTACCATGAGAGTCCAGTTTACCATGAAAGTCCAGTTTACCATGAAAATCCAGTTTACCATGAGAGTCCAGTTTACCATGAGAGTCAGTTTACCATGAGAGTCCAGTTTACCATGAGAGTCCAGTTTACCATGAAAGTCCAGTTTACCATGAGAGTCCAGTTTACCATGAAAATCCAGTTAACCATGAGAGTCCAGTTTACCATGAAAATCCAGTTTACCATGAGAGTCAGTATACCTTGGTAGTACAGTTTACCATGAAAATCCAGTTTACCATGAAAATCCAGTTTACCAGGAAAGTCCAGTTTACCATGAAAATCCATTTTACCATGAGAGTCCAGTTCACCATGTGAGTCCAGTTTACCATGATAGTCCAGTTTACCATGAAAATCCAGTTTACCATGCAAATCCAGTCTACCATGAAAATCCAGTTTACCATGAAAGTCCAGTTTACCATGAGAGTCCAGTTTACCATGAAAATCCAGTTTACCATGAGAGTCCAGTATACCATGGGAGTCCAGTTTACCATGAGAGTCCAGTTTACCATGAGTCCAGTTTACCATGAAAATCCAGTTTACCATGAAAATCCAGTTTACCATGGGCGGGAGTCGGCAACCTGCGGCTCCGGGCCCGCATGCGGCTCTTTAAGACCACTTCGTGGCGTTGTTGATTCAGGACCCACACCGTCTCCTATTTTTTATTTGGTTTCCGACCTCTGTCCTAGAGGGAGAGGTCTCCCCGTGTCCCCCCGTGTCTCCCCGTGTCCCCCCGTGTCCCCCCGTGTCCCCCCGTGTCCCGTGTCCCCCCGTGTCCGCACTGACCACGACCCTGGTGTAGACGTCCCCGGCGAACTCCAGGTCGTGGAACTTGGCCTCCACGTTGAAGGTGTAGCGCTGCAGCCACTCGAGCAGGGGCAGGCCCACGGCCGTGCCCGCGAAGGAGTATTGCGACGCGTGGATGTGAGTGTCCACCAGCCCCGGCATCACGAACTGCCTGCGGGGTCACGGGGCAGGAGGTCGCGCTCAGGTGGCGGGTCACCCTCGAGGGGTCACGAGGATGGGGCGGTGGCGGTTGTCAGGGCGGTTGTGGTGGTCATGGTGGTTGTGGTGGTTGTGGTGGTCATGGTGGTCGTGGTGGTTGTGGTAGTCATGGTGGTTGTGGTGGTTGTGGTGGTCGTGGTGGTTGTGGTGGTCATGGTGGTTGTGGTGGTCATGGTGGTTGTGGTGGTCATGGTGGTCGTGGTGGTTGTGGTGGTCATGGTGGTTGTGGTGGTTGTGGTGGTCGTGGTGGTCGTGGTGGTTGTGGTGGTCGGGGTGGTTGTCGTGGTTGTGGTGGTTGTGGTGGTCATGGTGGTTGTGGTGGTTGTGGTGGTTGTGGTGGTCATGGTGGTTGTGGTGGTTGTAGTGGTCGTGGTGGTCGTGGTGGTTATGGTGGTTGTGGTGGTTGTGGTGGTCATGGTGGTTGTGGTGGTTGTGGTGGTCGTGGTGGTTGTGGTGGTTGTGGTGGTCTTGGTGGTCGTGGTGGTTGTGGTGGTCATGGTGGTCGTGGTGGTTGTGGTGGTCTTGGTGGTCGTGGTGGTTGTGGTGGTCATGGTGGTCGTGGTGGTTGTGGTGGTCATGGTGGTTGTGGTGGTTGTGGTGGTTGTGGTGGTCATGGTGGTTGTGGTGGTCATGGTAGTCGTGGTGGTTGTGGTGGTCGTGGTGGTCGCGGTGGTTGTGGTGGTCATGGTGGTTATGGTGGTCATGGTAGTCGTGGTGGTTGTGGTGGTCGTGGTGGTCGTGGTGGTTGTGGTGGTCATGGTGGTTGTGGTGGTCATGGTGGTTGTGGTGGTTGTGGTGGTCGTGGTGGTTGTGGTGGTCGTGGTGGTCGTGGTGGTCGTGGTGGTTGTGGTGGTCGTGGTGGTCGTGGTGGTTGTGGTGGTCGTGGTGGTTGTGGTGGTTGTGGTGGTCATGGTGGTTGTGGTGGTCATGGTGGTCGTGGTGGTTGTGATGGTTGTGGTGGTCGTGGTGGTTGTGGTGGTCATGGTGGTTGTGGTGGTTGTGGTGGTCGTGGTGGTTGTGGTGGTCGTGGTGGTCGTGGTTGTGGTGGTTGTGGTGGTTGTGGTGGTCGTGGTGGTTGTGGTGGTTGTGGTGGTCGTGGTGGTTGTGATGGTTGTGGTGGTCGTGGTAGTTGTGGTGTTCATGGTGGTTGTGGTGGTTGTGGTGGTTGTGGTGGTCGTGGTGGGGAGCTACAGTGTCGCGGGTCGGCGCTTCGCTGCGCTAAGATTCCGGCGACACGAGTTCGATTCCCGCTCACGGCCAACAACGGTGACGATGATCTGAACCGGTCCTGGGCCTCCCCTAGGTCGACTCGGCCTCAAATGAGTACCTTACACACCGCACCAGGTACGGCCGGGTGTGGTTGCTGGCCACCCACCCCCTCGTGTGCCGTGCCGGCCTCCATAGATGATACTCGCTAACGGCGATGGCCCCAACGTTCTGTTCAGGCTACACGGGGGGATCTTTGTCTCTGGTGGGAGCAGTACTCGGGGGTCGTGGGTCACAGGAGGTCATGGTGCCGAGGTCATAGCATCGAGGTCATGACTACAGGGGGTCGCGGCCAAAGAGTCGCAACAACAACATTGTGATCTTCGGATGAAATGCGCCTTACAAATGTGCATCATCACCACCACCACCACCACAACTAGTATCATGCAGGAACAGCGCTACCGGTGAGACAGCCGCCGGATGGACACGCCGCTCCAGTCGTGTCGCTGCAGCGTCTCCTGCAGCTGCGTCTCCGGCACAACGAAGGCGATCTGCCACCGTCACCATCGACACGACCATCAACCACATCACCAACTGGCAACATCACCAGCAACACCAACACCATCATCATCACCTGCTAAACCATCAGGCATAGACTGCTTGATTACGTTCTTCCAAAGATTGCTGGCCACCCACCCCCATGCGTACTGTGCCTTCATAGGTGCTGCTCGCTAACAGCACTTGCCCCAGCAGTCTGTGAAAGGCTACACGGGGGATCTTTGTCTTAGTGTGTGGGGGGGGGGGTGGGGGGGGCGGTGGGGGGGGTTCCAGTGCCCCTACTCCGTCTCGCGCCGCCCCGATCCTCCCCCCTCCCCTCTCACCTTCCCCCTCCCCTCTCACCTCCCCCCTCACCTCCCCCCTCCCCCCTCACCTCCCCCCTCCCCCCTCACCTCCCCTCTCACCACCCCCCTCCCCTCTCACGTCCTCCCTCCCCTCTCACCTCCCCCCTCACCCCTCCCCCCTCACCTTCCCGTCTCGCGCCACCCCGAGCGCGTGCGCGCGCAGCACGAGGAGCGGCTCCTGGCGCGTGGCGTGCACAAAAGTCCCCACGAGCACGCGCGCCTCCATCACGGGGGGCTGGGGGGGCTGGGGGGAGTGGGGGGCTGGGGGGAGTGGGGGTCTGGGGTGGAGGGGGGGTCCACGCAGGTGGGGGGGGGGGGGGCTTGTAGGGGTCTCGGCTTATCCGAGATTCACGGGGAGTGGAGGCGCTCTCCCCTGCTGGGAGAGGACACGGGGAGACAGAGCCGGGTACAGAGAGGCGAGGAGGGAGACACGGGGGACACGGGGGGACAGTGGCACAGAGAGACAGTGGGACACAAGGAGACAGAGACGTGGGGACAGAGAGTTAGACAGCGGGACGGAGGGAGACTCGCGGAGAAGTTCAGGACACAGACCCCTGCCAGGTCAGCGCGGTTCTGATGTTTGGTGTCCAAAGTAATCATTGACGCGGCACCCCAACTCGGGGTCCAAGAGTGCGTGGTATGGGTCGCTGTTGAAGTGTTTTAAGGCTCATTTGGGGCGAGTTGCAACTGGCTATTGACTTCAGGTTCGTGTTTAGTGTGTGGGGACGCGTCTCATGTGTCAGTGAGTGTGTCTGAGTGTCTGTATGTGTCAGTGAGTGTGTCTGAGTGTATGTATGTGTCAGTGAGTGTGTCTGAGTGTCTGTATGTGTCAGTGAGTGTGTCTGAGTGTCTGTATGTGTCAGTGAGTGTGTCTGAGTGTCTGTATGTGTCAGTGAGTGTGTCTGAGTGTCTGTATGTGTCAGTGAGTGTGTCTGAGTGTCTGTATGTGTCAATGAGTGTGTCTGAGTGTCTGTATGTGTCAGTGAGTGTGTCTGAGTGTCTGTATGTGTCAGTGAGTGTGTCTGAGTGTCTGTATGTGTCAGTGAGTGTGTCTGAGTGTCTGCATGTGTCAGTGAGTGTGTCTGAGTGTATGTATGTGTCAGTGAGTGTGTCTGAGTGTATGTATGTGTCAGTGAGTGTGTCTGAGTGTCTGTATGTGTCAGTGAGTGTGTCTGAGTGTATGTATGTGTCAGTGAGTGTGTCTGAGTGTATGTATGTGTCAGTGAGTGTGTCTGAGTGTCTGTATGTGTCAGTGAGTGTGTCTGAGTGTTTGTATGTGTCAGTGAGTGTGTCTGAGTGTCTGTATGTGTCAGTGAGTGTGTCTGAGTGTCTGTATGTGTCAGTGAGTGTGTCTGAGTGTCTGTATGTGTCAGTGAGTGTGTCTGAGTGTCTGTATGTGTCAATGAGTGTGTCTGAGTGTCTGCATGTGTCAGTGAGTGTGTCTGAGTGTCTGTATGTGTCAGTGAGTGTGTCTGAGTGTCTATATGTGTCAATGAGTGTGTCTGAGTGTCTGTATGTGTCAGTGAGTGTGTCTGAGTGTCTGTATGTGTCAGTGAGTGTGTCTGAGTGTCTGTATGTGTCAGTGAGTGTGTCTGAGTGTCTGTATGTGTCAGTGAGTGTGTCTGAGTGTCTGTATGTGTCAGTGAGTGTGTCTGAGTGTCTGTATGTGTCAGTGAGTGTGTCTGAGTGTCTGTATGTGTCAGTGAGTGTGTCTGAGTGTTTGTATGTGTCAGTGAGTGTGTCTGAGTGTTTGTATGTGTCAGTGAGTGTGTCTGAGTGTCTGTATGTGTCAGTGAGTGTGTCTGAGTGTCTGTATGTGTCAGTGAGTGTGTCTGAGTGTCTGTATGTGTCAGTGAGTGTGTCTGAGTGTTTGTATGTGTCAGTGAGTGTGTCTGAGTGTTTGTATGTGTCAGTGAGTGTGTCTGAGTGTCTGTATGTGTCAGTGAGTGTGTCTGAGTGTCTGTATGTGTCAGTGAGTGTGTCTGAGTGTCTGTATGTATGTCAAAGCCGATGAGTCAGGTGCCTTCTATGACCTCCTGTCACAGGTGCTGGCTAAAGTGGCCCCTCGGGATAGAGTCATCTTGTTGGGTGACTTCAATGCCCGAGTTGGTCATGATGCTGGCACCTGGTCTGGAGTGATTGGAGGGCATGGGCCAGATCAGCTCAATAACAATGGTAGGAGGCTGCTAGATTTTTGTGCAGCCCATGGGCTTGTAATTACCAACACGCTGTTCCGGCATCGGTGCATCGACACAACATCATGGATGCATGCCGGGTCCAAGCAAGAACATCTGCTCGACTACATAGTGACGGACCAGCGGATGCGAGCCCATGTCCTTGACACCAGGACCTACCGTGGAGCTGATCTGCCCTCTGACCATCGACTAGTCATCTGTAAGATGCGCCTGCCATTCTTCCGCTCCGGTTGTGGGTGTACACCCAGGACCCCATTCCAACCTAAAGTGGCCTGGTCTCAGTTATCTGATGAAAGTTGCAAGCGAGAATTTCATCATTGCTTGCGGCTGGGGTTGGCACCGTCCCCCACTCCTCCTGATGTCGAGGGTAAATGGGCGAGGTTTAGGACTGTCACTCATGCAGCTGCATTGGCTGCTTTGGGTACGCGGTCCAGACCTCCCCAGAGACCCTGGCTGACAGAGGAGGTGTTCAGGATAGTTGAGAAAAAGCGACAGGCCCACTGTCATCGGCTACAGAATCCCACGTCAGAGAATGAGGAGTCTTACCGCAGCCTTCGCTCGGAGGTTCGGAGAGCCATGAGGCGCTGTAGGGATGGGTGGTGGTCGCGGGTTGCTGAGGAGATGGAGTCTGCCTCAGTGGCCCGCGATCACAAATTTATATTTAACTCCATCAAAAAAGTAACCTGCAGCGCCACACCTATTACCATCATTAGGGGAAAAAACGGTGATCCAATCTCCGACCCCCAGGAACAGGTTTGCAGATTTGCTGAGAATTTCTGTGAGGTCCTGGGGGAGGGAAAATCTCTCAGCCAGGAAAACATCGTGGCACGAAGTGGGGATGACCCTGCTGAGGCTGCGGTGCCTCAAATATTGGAAGAAGTCACCCCCTGTGAGTGTCTGGCTGAGGTGCCATCTGTTGAGGAAGTACTGAAGGCGATCTGGAGTCTGAGACCAGGTAAGGCACCGGGTAGAGATGATCTCCCAAGCGAAATGCTGAGGGAGGGTGGCGTTTGTGCACAGACTGCCCTATATGACATCATAACAACAGTCTGGACCACTGGACGGGTTCCGCAGGATTGGAAGGATGCCCTGGTGGTCCCCCTCTTTAAGAAGGGCGACCACACAGACTGTAACAACAACAGGGGCATCTCACTCCTCAGTGTGCTAGGAAAGGTCCTGGCAAGGATTATTCAACATCGCCTTGCCAGGCACGCTGAGGAGAGACTTGCGGAGCCCCAATGTGGTTTCAGGAAAGGGCGGTCCTGCACAGATGCCATATTTTCTGTCCGTCTGCTACAGCAGAGGTGTAGGGAATTCCAGCAAAACCTACATCTCTGCTTTATTGACCTGGTCAAGGCCTATGATACCATCAGTAGGCCTGGGCTCTGGGTTGTTTTTCGTGCTTTTGGAGTCCCTAACCCTCTGCTCACGATCATTAAGGACCTTCATGATGGTGAGCAGGCCCGGGTTAAACTATGTGGCCGTGAGTCAGAGCCATTCCCTGTACACCTTGGGGTGCGCCAGGGATGTCCTCTGGCTCCCACATTATTTAACATCTATTTTGACCACGTAGTTCGTGAAGTCTTCATTAGCTGTACCGGGGGAATCTCCATTTGGTACAGATATAATGGGAGGCTGATCAATGCCCGGGTGCGGTCAAGGGATGGCTCCCTATTGCTCAACAACGTTATGTATGCCGATGATTTGGTAATAGTTGCTCATTCAGAGGAGGAGTTGGAGACTGCTGCTGCTGCTGCTGAGACTGGAGCGTGCCACTAAGAGATGGGGCCTTACCATTGGCCCCACCAAAACTAAGCACCTGCCTGGGTAAATTTCGATTTAAAGCTTTCATGACTGCAAGGATTCATCTTCTTTGGTTCTTTCGGTAAAGTCACATAGAATGAGAATAAAATAATAAATTGATTAAATAAAATAACACAATAATATTCTCACGTCGTTTCGGCCACAACACAAGCGGCCTTCATCAGGTGAAGGGACGAGACTGTCTGAAGGACAGCGCTGGAGTGAAAAAGCCACGCTCAGATCGCGACCTTTAAGCTGTGTGAGAAGAAACAAAGCGCCTTGACAAAGGAATTAGCATTGAATTTAGCATTGAAATGGCTGAGTGATAAGCTTGTGACTGGTTACAGAAATGGCTATGTTAAACTTAAAGCATACACATCCGCAGAGGCACCCCTTGACAAAGGAATTAGCATAGAATTTAGCATTGAAATAGCTGAGTGATTAGCTTGAAACTGGTCACAGAAATAGCTATGTTAAAGTCAGAGCATACACATTCACAGAGGCACCTAGTACAAATCAAACAGGAGAATTTAGCATTGAAATAACTAGGCGAATTTAGCAATGATAAATTTAGCATTGCTAAATTAGCATTGCTAAATTAGCTAAATTCGCCTGAAATAACTAGGCGAATTTAGCAATGATAAATTTAGCATTGCTAAATTAGCATTGCTAAATTAGCTAAATTCGCCTAGTTATTTCAATGCTAAATTCTCCTGTTTGATTTGTACTAGGTGCCTCTGTGAATTTGTATTCTCTGACTTTAACATAGCTATTTCTGTGACCAGTTTCAAGCTAATCACTCAGCTATTTCAATGCTAAATTCTATGCTAATTCCTTTGTCAAGGGGTGCCTCTGCGGATGTGTATGCTTTAACTTAGCTATTTAAATGCTAAATTCTATGCTAATTCCTTTTTCAAGGGGTGCCTCTGCGGATGTGTATGCTTTAACTTTAACATAGCCATTTCTGTGACCAGTCACAGGCTAATCACTCAGCCATTTCAATGCTAAATTCAATGCTAATTCCTTTGTTAAGGCGCTTTGTTTCTTCTCACATAGCTTAAAGGTCGCGATCTGAGCGTGGCTTTTTCACTCCAGCGCTGTCCTTCAGACAGTCTCGTCCCTTCACCTGATGAAGGCCGCTTGTGTTGTGGCCGAAACGTCGTGAGAATATTATTGTGTTATTTTATTTAATCAATTTATTATTTTATTCTCATTCTACGTGACTTTACCGAAAGAATCAAAGAAGACCTGCCTGGGTATTTTGTACCATCGGACACTCCACCCCCACAACTTCCAATCGGTGACGGGGCAGTTGTGGAGAGAATGGAGAGTTTCCCATACCTGGGCAGTGTGCTTATGACCGGCTCCAGTTTAACAGCAGAGGTCTCACTCCGAATCAGTCGAGCGGCAATATATTTTCATCGGTTGCGTAACGCTGTGTGGAAGCTACCTGGTCTGTCGCTCCGCACTAAGCTTCAGGTCTTCTCGGCCACGGTCATTCCCTCCCTTCTCTACGCTTGCGAAACGTGGACCCCCCTAATGGAACATCTTCGCCGGTTAGAAACATTTAGGCTAGCCCGCCTACGATCCATCCTGGGTTTAACCAGGCTGGATTGTGTAAGGAGCTCACAAATCCTTGAAAGATCTGGGGAGGGTCCCATCGGTGAGCTCCTCCGGCAGGCAAGGCTGCGTTGGCTGGGTCATGTAGCCCACATGCCGAGCCACCGCATGCCGAAACAGCCTTTGTTCGGCCGGATCGAGGGGGCTAAACGGGCGCGGCAAG